TGCGTATGCCAATAACAGTTCTTATAGGGAAACTCAAGAGCACAGAAGTGCGTTTTCTGTTATAGGAGGGCCAAGAATCCTCGGTGTCCCACAGGATGAAAAGTTTTCTGGAACATTGCTAAATGAGTCGAGCGATCTCTTGAGTATCTTTTAAATGAAGCAATTGATATACATACCTACGGTGATCTTGCCTTGTTAATTCACCACTTTTACAATTCGTGGTAAAATTTATGAACTGATTTCTGGGTAGATGCAAGACCGCATGATCGTGCATGAGGGCGTCAGAAAAATTTAACCCCATCCTTCATTTAGACATCTGAAAACTAAATTCGTATAACTTAAACATAGGGCTAAAGCAGACCAACCACACGGGGTTTCTATACATTTCGGCTGCAGCGCCATCCATTGGGTTCATTTTCTGCAAAACCCAGGTATATAGCTCACATTTAAAATTTGAACGAAATCGGTTAATAAAAACGATTTTTATAAATAACTCTACTCCAGCACCACCTAGCGAGTTTCCTAGTAGCATGTAATTGGACCATATATGTATGTAAGATAACCTCCGACAATCTGACGAAACTCTATTCAGTGGTTTTTGAGTTTATTCCGAACAACGAAAACGGCTATCATTTTTTGCAAATAGGTATGTAGATAGGACAGTTTATAGCGAAACTCGTAAAAGCAAAGCTCCATTCTTTGTGAAACATTTAAAAAAATTCTTCAGAATTTTCACATAAATACCATAGTTCAGTGAGATTTAGAATTCTAGGAGAAAATGGTTCCCAATCGAATGATATTTGCGCGTTTACGTAAATGTATATCGATCCAGCCTTTCCAATAATTACCACTTTTCGCCACACCTACGGTATTGATAACATATGTAGCTGTGTAGAATTTCAGGACGTTAGCGTAAGCAGTTCCAGGAAGGAAGGAGCCACGCCCCCTTTCCCAATGCATTTGCAATATATGCATCAGTGCTAAGTTTCAGTTCCCCAGCGTAATTGGTTTTAGAGATATACAGTATATTTTGCTTTGCTGCCTATAAGTGCACATTTAAGATACCTACCCCAAAATGCGCATCAAAAGCATTATTTTTAACATTTACAAGGAAACTGCTCCGATAGATGCATTCAACATACCTGCACATTGGTGATACCTGCCTTAAAAATTGTGCGACTAGTATCAATTATCAATGAAAGTATTACGTTTACCTGCACTGGCCCTACAATTACCTAATTTTACAACCTTTTATTTATTTTGCTCATCTCGCAGAACAACGAAAATGGCTATCAATTTATGTAGTTATATAGATAATTTGATAACATTCGGTAAAAATTTCGCTTGCAGTAATTTCTACATGGTAAGTGCTCCGCCAATATTTGGTTTCATAGGGATTCGGATACCTTCCTCATTGAAGTAGTAAAGAAAATTCGCTTAAGTGCCTTTTTCGGTTACGTGCACAAGTTTTTCGTGCAAAGAAGGATGTGCAGCTAAGCAAAGTGAACTGTATTGGTTTTTTACGTTTTAGTCTGTATAAGAATTTTAGGAATATCCCGAGTAAATTTTTGGTCAGAATATTTATTTTCAAGGTGTTGCCAAATATGATCCAAGTCGGTGCAGCCGTTTAGTAGTTTATTGAAATACATTGTAAAGAGAACTGTATGAAATTGTAGAACGTGACGTCTCAGATTTCTTAATTTTTTGCAGCAACAACGAAAAGTTTTATTTTTTTTAGCGAAAAACCTTCCACACAGAAATAAAAAAAATTAAGTTTGTGGTTATATCAAGGCGAAATTTTGAGAACGGTCCGTTGCTAACTCTAAATATAACAACGACGCACTGGAAAAAGTTAATACGTTCAAATACCTAGGAATAATGATCGACGATAAACTAAAACAAAAAAAAAAAGGATTCTATATTTTCAATTAGAGCTCTAACAATATGTTCATCGGTGAAAACTGCATTTAATTCCATACATTAGCTTTTGCGTGATGCGCTTGCAAACATACAGACAAACATACCGAAAATTTAGATTTGGTTTCTGTTGATCTAATATGCCCCCTATTAATTTTTCTTTAACATTTATTATGCACAGATATCGGCCTGTTGTAATTTTATTATTCTCAAGTACTCTCGTTTGATACCCATATGGCAACACTTAGTTTATATTATAAATTTAACTGAATTAAAGTTTTCAAATAAGTGGCAGCCCGCTTTAAGAATATTTTCAAAAGTAAGCCTCCTCATCCTCTTTAGTTTAATATTCGTATTGCAATATTTCATTTATTTTACAAATTTTAATGAATACAATTTTTCAATCAGTTGGCAAATCCTCTAAAGATATTTTCAGCATTAAAATTTCCTATCGTCTTTAGTTTTATTCCAATATTGCAGTATTTAATTTATGCTATCAATTAAATTAAATTAAAGTTTTCAAATAGGTGGCAGCCTTCCACAAAAATATTTTCAGCTGTAAGCCTTTGTAAATTTCTTTCTTTTGACAGCCATATTGCAGTATTCACTTTACCGTATCAATTGACCTAAATTGAAATTTTAAACACAGGTGGCAACTCTATAATTTTTTCTTCTATACTGGAAGTTAGATCTCTAGCGATACATCGGTGAAAACTGCATTCAATTCCATGTTTTCGACTGATGCGCGTACAAATATACAGACAGACAATCACTGAAATTCTAAAAATTGTTTATTTGACTTCTGTAGCTTTAATAAAAACCCACCATATTAATTTTTCTTTAATATCTATAAGGTACAGACATCGACCTGTTACAATTTTATTATATGTATAGATGTAGATATAGATTTCATTTATTTTATCGATTTAATACAATAAAATTTTTCAAACAGGTGGCAGCCCTCCCCAAAAATATTTTCGGCAATAAAATTTCCTAAACCCCTTCAGTTTGATACCCATTGCAATATTCAATTTATCTTATAAATTAAATTAAATGTAAATTTTCAAACAGGTGGCAACTCTAAAAAAATATTTTTGGTTGTAAGCCTTCTTCAGCCTCTTTCAATTCAATTCAATTTTCAAACAGGTGGCAACTCTCTAATTTTTTTCTTCCTATATTTTAAGTTAGACCAATACATCGGTGAAAACTGCATTCAAATCCATGCATTCGTTTTCGAGTGATGCGCGAACAATCATACAGACAGACAGACAGACAAAAATTCTAAAAATGGTTGATTTGGCTTATGGTGCTCTAATAAAGACCCCCCACATTAATTTTTCTTTAATATCTATAATGTACAGACATCGACCTGTTACAATTTTATTATATGTATAGATAGCCTTTGAGAAAGTTAGCACCATTATATTTTTTGTAAGACTAAGGACTTGCCACAATTGGTCCAAATCTTCAGGAGCTAAGATTTCAGTTTTTTCACATATGCACAAAACACAAATGTATACATCCAACCCTCTCCGTGTATTATACTGACGCACTGTCATAATGTAAGATTAAGCTTACTTGCTTGACTAAATATTATAAAGTTTTTACTATCCAAGTATTTTTTAGTTCATATAACTAAATTGGTAAATGTAATTAGGGCTTTTATATTAGGAAAAATTGACTTTGGACTCGTAATTTACGTACACCGCGCAAAAAGTATCTAAATTGCTAGAAACACCTTACCATGCAGCAGTAAGAAGAACGATAACCAAGGGGTAAAGTACAACACAAAGATGCTCATCCCAAAGATTGTTCACTGCAGAAGTGAGACTTTATTCTCTCACGTCGAATCCTCAATTCAACAAAAAAAACCGATGAAGCAAGCAATCAGCTTTATTTCGTATATTAAGCTACATCAAAGATTTGGACATCATATCTACATCGATGCCTACTAAAGTAAAAACTCTACCGCAAGGGCATTTAGCCAGTTCTATATTCATAAATGACCTGGGAGCGTATTTTCACAGACGGTTCCAGATATGATACCGGGTGTTCTTTTGCGGTAACAAAAGGGCTTGGTTTTACAATTGTCGTCGGTGCTTTTCATGCGAACTGCTTGGAATTTATAATTGCTAGAAGCTGCACGGTCAGTAAATCAGCCATCGAAGCCCTCTTTAACAGTGCTAATGGTTCTCGTATCATTTCGAAATCACGTGATACTCTTTCGAGACAAAATACCATTAAAATTATGTGATTATCTGGGCACGTCGGAATAGAAGGGAACGAGTTTGCAGACCAATGATTTATGTGTTAAAAACTTAGTTTAACATAACATTTACAGCTAAGGAACTGACATTTTCATTGTTCTACAAAACCCGCTATCAGCACATTTTTTTTTTGTATAAATAGTTACAATTCGAATTGCAATAACCTCTATCTGATCTTTAAACTTAATTGAAATGAATCATAGGTAAAATCCTAGCTTTAGTATATAGCGTGACTTTTTAAGGCATGCGTGGGTACTTAAAATTATTAACACCGTCAGAACAGTTTTTTTGCTCTCCTGAAAAATTGAGTTTTTGCTTATAGAGGGTGTTTAATATAAGCCCTCGATATATATATATAATTATATATACATACGTTGTGGTATACTAATCTTACTACACATATATGTATATGTATAAATACTATATGTAAGTGTAAAGATGATCTCCTATATCTTACTTTTTGTAAAATGACAGCGACTGCAATATGAATGAATTTCAATTCCATAGTTTTTAGTTTATTCTGTTTGTAATTAGCTTTTTAAATCTCTTTTTTTATATCTCTTTGCTTAAAAACACAAATTTATTTTTATTTATAGTATTCGCAATAAAGAAGGACTACAAAACTATTTTGTTATCATATTCTAATTAATGGTAGTAATATCCAGAAATATCCCGGGATCCCGGGATTACCAATTTAAAATCCCGAAATCCCGGGATTCACATAATGGTCCGGGATTGGATGCCTTAGTATATACATATATGACAATGAAATAAACTTGTTTAATTATTTTCTAAGATTTTTTGTTTGTTTTATAGGTTATGGTATCGCAACGCCAAAAGGCTCACCATGGCGTGACAAAATTTCTTTGTCCATACTAGAACTCCAGGAAAAGGGTGATATACAAATGCTCTACGACAAGTGGTGGAAAAATGCCGGCGAAACCTGTGTACGCAAAAGCAACAGCAAACAAACAAAGGCGAATGCACTCGGTCTGGATAATATAGGTTAGTAATTACAGCAGGCACGGATACACGTGGAATATTCAGAAATGTGTTAACAAAGTTGTCTTTAGTTCTTCTTCTTCTTATTTTTTGGCGCTGTAACCGCCTAAGCGATTTTGGCCGAGTTCAGCAAAGCACGTTAGTCGTTTCTCTTCCGTGCCAACTGACGCCAATTGGAAACGCCAAGTGAAGCCAAGCCCTTCTCCACCTGATCTTTCCATCGCAGGGGGGGCCTCCCTCTTCCTCTGCTACCACCAGCGGGTTCCGAGTTGAATACTTTCAGAGCTGGAGCGTCGGTGTCCATTCGAACGACATGGCCAAGCCAGCGGAGCCGCTGTATTTTAATTCGCTGCACTATGTCCATGTCGTAGCTCGTACAGCTCATCGTTCCATCGTCTGCGGTATTCGCCGTCGCCAACGCGTAAAGGCCCGCAAATCTTCCGCAAAATCTTTCTCTCAAACACTCATCGGATGTTGTCATTGTCCATGCTTCTGCGCCTTATACCAGCACGGGCATGATGAGCGACTTATAGAGTGTGGTTTTCGTACGTCGAGAGAGGACTTTACTCCTGAATTGCCTACTCAGTCCAAAGTAGCACTTGTTGGCAAGAGTGATTCTGCGTTGGATTTCAATGCTGACATTATTATCGGTGTTAAAGCTGGTTCCCAAGTAAACGAAATTCTCTACTTTCTCGAAATTGTAACTGTCAACAGTGACGTGGGTGCCAAGGCGCGAATGTGCTGACTGTTTGTTTGATGACAGGAGATACTTCGTCTTGTCCTCGTTTACCCCCAGACCCATTCGCTTTGCTTCCCTATCCAACTTGGAAAAGGCAGAAGAGTCAAACCACGCCAACTGTGTCAATGAATTTTCATTGATTTTATGGAAAGGGAAGACAATTGTGGGAATCTGTAGATAATTATAGAACAAAAATACACTTTGGACGGTTTTTCGAAATGGCACTTCGTTTTTGTTTTTTTTTTGGTATTATAAGAATATTGCAATTTTTTAGAGAAAAATTCGTAACTCGCGACCCATTTGATGAAATTCGATGAAATTTTTTTTGAGAGTTGCTGAAGCTTTTCCCTTTACAATAGAGAGATTTGCAGAATAAAATTCGCGAAACAATTAATTCTTTAATAACAATAATTTAAACAATTGCAATTATTTAGATCTTCTAGGCCTGCGATTGCAGTGAAATTTTGGCACAAGATACTCTAAACCAGTGTTGCCATTTTAGCCGTTTTCCGGCTAGATTTAGCCGGTTGCTATTGCAAACAGCCGGAGAAATTTCGATTTAGCCGGCAGCCGATTTGTTAGCCGTTTTGCAGAAAAAATTAGCCGTTTTTGCTATTTTCCTTGTTTTCTTAAATTTCAAATATGTATATATGTTTCCATTTTTGACTGAGCGACCCAAAATCTGTTAGAAATGGCTACTAGCCTCATCGTGGAGAAAATTTTCATGTCAGGCAGGGTTGTATGAAATTGGGCCGATTTCGCTTATTTTTATTTTAAACGAAGAAGGGATTTTCTTCATAAAATGTTTGTTATAAATGTCTTAATTTTAAGTGTGAAGTTTTATTCGCAAACTTAGGAAATAAGAAATTGTTTCAATATTAAGACACTTAAGATGCCTTTGTGTTTGGATATAGTGCCAACAAACAGAATAAATATTACATGTAGATATTGTCTTCCCAGATAGCGCATATTCAATTCTGCCTAAATTACAAAACATCATTTTTGCCCACTCCCAAAGGTTTAAGGTAAGGGAAAAATTGATATTTTCATGCACCAGGTACACATATGTATTTTTTTAAACAAACTCTTTTGCTGAGGACTTATTTAAATTCCAAAAACCGAATGCCAACTTGAATTAAAGGAACCAACACTGAAGTGAGTCAAAATGAAAATAAAAGAGCACAAATTTCTATGTAAAGCAAAACTCTCTGGGAATCCTGCGAGATATCTGCCGGTCATATGACCGGTCATCTAAATGAGTGATCTGCAGTCTTTAGGCATCATATTTTACATCAGAATTGAAGGGATTTCTGAAAAATCTGACCAGTTCTTTTGTGTAACTGTGATTCTGCATCCCTTGTCAACATATGGCCTCGGTTGATGTTAACTTAAAGTCGTTGTTTTATTGCCTTAAAATTGAAGGAAAATTTTTACAGCGTCTTTTATGTGTACTGGTTTCAATTTGAGTGTATTGAAAATCGGTCAGTCTGAAAAGGCCTTCAAGGGAAGACAATAGGTTTGTTCGTCGAAAATCTAGCTAGAATTATCACTCAAGATATCAGATAGTAAAAAAAATGCTCCCAAATTCTCTCTCATGTAGAGAAACTTGCAAATTTCTGTACGAACGTAAATTTGCAAGTTTTTCTGCCAGTTAGTGTCCAGGGTTGCATTTCAAACAAAAGAAATTTAACGAACTTGTTTTTCCTAATTGCAAATTCTTGTTGGCAAAATTTTTTCCGGCTCGAATTTGTAACTTCTCTCCAAGAAATAGAGTTTTTACTCGTGATTTATTTAAATAAAACATGTGAAATTTAGTTGAAACATTTTAGCCGTTTTTAGCCGGTTCGTCCAAAAAGTTCTGGCAACACTGCTCTAAACTCTTGTTAAGTTCCAAAAAGAAAAAAAATGGTCTTTGCAATTTTTACAGTCGCTATCGATTTTTTTCTCACCTTTAAGCTTTGAGTAAATAGCTATTTTCATATAAGCTTGTGTGAGTGATAGCATTTTTATGTTAGTTAATGAATAATTATACAAGTACGTACATTATTTAACGTATAACTTAAAACATCAATGTTTATTTACAGCTTATAAAAATAATACTCAAGGTTTAAAGGTGAGAAAAAAATCGATAGCGACTATCAAAATTGAAAAGACCATTTTTTTCTTTTTGGAACTTAAAAACAAGATTTTGAAGTATATTGTGCCAAAATTTCACTGCAATCGCAGGCCTAGAAGATCTAAATAATTGCAATTGTTTAAATTATTGTTATCAAAGAATTAATTGTTTTGCGAATTTTTTTCTGCAAATCTTTCTATTGTAAAGGGAAAAGCTTCAGCAACTCTCAAAAAAAATTTCATCGAATTTCATCAAATGGGTCGCGAGTTACGAATTTTTCTCTCAAAAATTGCAATATTCTTATAATACCAAAAAAAAAACAAAAAAGAAGTGCAATTTCGAAAAACCGTCCAAAGTGTATTTTTGTTCTATAATTATCTACAGATTCCCACAAATTTATTGACACAGTTGGCGTGGTTTGACTCAGAACAGACTTCGCGGTTTTTGTTACCGATGATGTCGATCAGGGGCGAACGCAGAAATTTTTTTCGGGAGGGGTTTTAAAATTATGATTTTTTTTTTTCATTTAATCAGTTGCACCAAATATGCGTTTCGGTAGTACAAAATGTCTATATTTTTTTCAATAAATTGGAGTTATTACATATGTATGCATGAAAAATGTGAAATATCATTTCTCTACTGCTTCGACTTAAAAGAAAATATTGTAATCAGTATTTCTTTATTCCCAACTTCTATATTTCTGTGGATGCTAAGTAAAGCTTAACCATATAATCTTTGTTCCCCAGTTTTACTTCGTAAATATGATTCAAGCTTAAGAAGGAGCGTTCACTGGAAATAAGTGTCACAGGAAGAGTTGGCCCTATCTGCAAGAATCGGTATACCTTTAGGTACAGTGATTGATTGCAAACATCAGGAGCGTCTAGGAATGGTGTTGGACTATGCTCCGTAGGTACATTGAAAAAATGCCTGTAAAGAAACATAATAAGGGTATACATCAAACCTTATAAACCGTATAAAATTATAATTGTGTAAACTTTGGAAATCAACTGTCAAAATTTGTATGGAAACTCACTGAATAATCTTGATAACCTGAAGACAATGTAACTCGGTCGCAAGTGTGTACAAAAAGAGAGTATGGGGCATTCATGTAACAGAGCTCTTAAATTTATAAGAATATCTGCTTGATAAAGCTATCGGTTTAGATGAATACCGCTAATATTAATTTAAATATTAGCATGGCATTTGAATTTAAATGTAGAAAAATATGTTTGACACAGTTTAACTCATGATAATTGAAATGTCAAATTATGTTTATTCGAAGGCGGAAATGTAAAAGCAGCATCCGGTGCCCACGGAGATTCAAGGAGCTCATAATTCTCGTTATCGCTTAGTTTACGGTGACCAAAATTTGACGCATCATTAAGCGGAACCTGCAAGGACGTGGATATATAAATTCCGTCGCAGGGGACTTAAAACTTGATTTTCGTGACGCAGAGGGTTGTGAAATTACCGGCATATTGAAATCAATGAGGCTGTTGATTTTTTAAACTTAGGGAAGCGACCAATTTTGGGCCTTAATCAGACTACGCCTGAACGTTAGTATTCATACATGCTAGTAAAATTCCAATAAGATTTTCTCTACCTCATCATTACGTCCTGAGAACTGTGGGACTCGGGTAACTTATAGCCCACTTTCACCAAGAGCTGTTTTAATTTCCTTTTCCCATAGGCATTAACTGCAGTTAAGGCGTGGTGGAAATGAATTCTTACTCTGGAATCAGCTGCACCAAGTTTCCCAGCGCCGGAGCGTATTCATTTTTTCCGTACTTGACACTCGTGAGATGAATTTTCGGCTGTTTGTGAAAATTCGGCAGCCGGAGGGGCAGAAGTTTATCAGTTTAAAATAGGTCGTTATTTTTACAGAATGCATTCGGTACGTAGCACTTTTTGCTCTGGTGATTCAGCGACATCGAAAATACACTTTTTCTCCCAGATAGATATGTAAATTAATTTCAATTACTTCTCCCCTTTCGAAAGCTTCGAAAACCTTAAAACGCAAACCAAAATGTGCATATAGTATATATGTAGTACTTTTAAGGATTATGTAAAGTATGTATGTATATAAAGTGGTGTTAGCAGAGCATCTAGACGGAGAGCTCATGCCCAAAAAACCCATCATTCTTCAGA